TTACTTGTGTTATTTTATGTCTTGTGTGTATATGTATAATAATATTATACACTTATGATTTTCATACATCATATTATCTTTATATTTAAACATATTTATTGAAGTTGTATTTATTCATGTTTATGATTGATATCTATTGTTATTTTGAAAATTAAATACAAGACTGATCTCTTTGAAACTATTTTTTTTGTTAACTCTGGTTTCTCGCAATTTTTAAAACAATATGTCTGCAAGGCGCAAGCCAATGAAAGATTCTAATTTAATGTTGATTCAAACGTAATATTTTATTTCAGTTAATAAATATCAGGTATGCCCCAATCACTAGCCAGTTGTATGTGTTTACTGAGTCATTCGAGAATCCAATTTACGATCGTACAATTATTTATCTTGCATTATTAACCTGTAACCTTAATTACGCTTATGCACGACTCGCGGCCTAAATTATGATAAACAAATTTATGTAATTGGTGTTCGAGTTATATAAATATCATATATATAACTCGGGAGAAAAGTATCTCCCTAGGTATTAAAAATATTAATTAAAACGCGTAATATAAACGTAATAGTGTAATACCCATACCTAGCCATAGATAATTTAATCACTCCAACCAAGACCACGTCAATTTGGCTTGTAATTAATAATGTTATCATAATATTTAATTAATCTATTATGGTATTTCATATACATATTGTACCTACAATTGTCGCATGGCGTAAATTCATATCAATAAAAAAAAATTTTGAACTGCTATTATACTATTATAGCAACTTAGCGCAATACCTATGTGTTTTCTCTCAGAGTGGACTTAAACCGACGGGCAACATAGATAAAAAGATTGTAACTAGAATCATTTTTTATGAATTTTGAGTAATCTTAAGAGTTAAATCATCTACATATTACAAAAATGTAAGGGGTCCGTGCAACAACTCCATTTTTCAAAACTTTTCAAGAAACAAAAAAAAAACACCGGAGCTATCTGGTTTTTTTTTCCGTTGAAAACCAGATAGCTCCAGTTACATTACATCTTTTACACAAGTGGTCATTTTCGTCTCGTTTTTGCACAAATATACTCGTCAAAATGTCCTAATTGAAAACGACAAAAATGTTGTTGTCGTGTTTTTACACGGACCCCCTTCTATATAGAGGATAATATTTTTGAGGGTATGACATCGGTTTAATGTATTAAATAATTTTTTATTATTTGATTTTGTACTCGACCTTCACTGCAGTAAAACATTTTTTTTTGTAAATTTAAAATATTAAAAATTGTGTTAAGGCGGATCGATACGTCATCATTACCTAAAAAATTGTATTATCTATCGTTTTTGTGATGGGTGATTTTACTCTAAGATTACTAAAAAATATTTCTAAAATGATTCTGAGTTCCTTAAGAGAGTAAGTAAGTAATAAGTAATAATATGTTAAAAATAATAATAAGTCTACGTGGGAAAGAGAGAAAATAAAAAGGGTGTTGAGATCTTTTTAAAAGGTACCTTGTATTACATTTTTAAGCTTTTTGACCCAGGAAACATTTTTATCAAAAATTATTGAAAAATAACTAAAACATTGTTTTATTTAAAACGTCTATAAATAACTTGGTCAAAATAATTTAAAAATTGTATAATGTATAGAAAATAATAAAAATGTTGTTAATTCGTTTTTGAATTATAACAAAATAAGAAAACCGTTTGATGAGAAATCGTTAATTAACGAAATCCAGTGTCATCATAAATTAAATTTGAAATTATAAAAATTATTGTTAATTTTTAGTCAATTTGTTTTTGAATAACACTAATAATAAATTATAAGAAACCTTGGATTAGATTTTAATTTGTTTGACAAATGTTTGATCGAATCATTATTTATCGACAATAATTAAATAAATTTTTAAATTTTTAAATTTCTCATGGTCTATAAATAGCCTATACTCAAAATATTTAGAAAATGGTCACATAATAGATATTTGGTGAAAATTTAATGTAGATATCTGTTTCTTCGTTTTTTAATTAGGTACTTATAAAACAAAAAAACATAATTAATCTCAGCAAAAACTGATTTTGCGTAAAAATGTCTATAATTCTGTACCTTTTTTTCCAAATTACTAAGAAAAGTATTGAGGATATTTTTACTCTTGACCCCACAAAATGTTAGCTAGCGCTTTTATTCTTTTACTATAGATTTTAAAATTTATATAATACTTTATGTTGTTGTGTCTGAGCGTCAGACAAGTCATATTTCAACTCACTTTTTAAATACAAAAGTATAATTAGGTTTTCAAACAGTGCATATTTGACACAATGCAAAACATATACAATATTCAATATAGGTACAAAAAACTAACATTAACAAATACAAGCACCTCTATTTTTTTTCAAAACCAATATGTACTAATATATATGCATTATATAATATATAAAATAAAATAAAGTTCTTTATTTTGCAATAAGGTTGAGTATTTATGTATAATTTATATATAAAAAAAACAATAGTAATAAATATTCAAATAAGTGTTAAGATACCGATACCGCCGATTAAAATTATACATAATAAATGTTTTGTATAAAATAAAATAACTAATATAATTTTACCCTCAACATGTAGTAGATTAATATAATCGCGTAGTTAATAAAGTTTTACGATATAGCCATAGCATAAAAAAAAATACAATTATTATATTTTTAGATAACAATAACTCATGTTTGACATGATAATATAATTTGACAATATTTTAAAATAGGATATAATATAATAAACGCTTATCGCAACAAACATTATGGTAACTATGAGAATTTTAGTTCAGTTGCATATTTATAAATTACAATTAAATATTAAAATATATAGATTAAAAAAGAAAAAGAAATAAATCACAAAATATTGTAACAAATTATTGTTACTTATAGAAGAGTTAATTAAAAGTGTTCATTGTCTTTTGGTCCAATTATTGACCGTTAATTTTAAAAAAAAAATAATAAAATACAAGAATAAAATTTCATGTCGTACAAGAAAACATTAACATTATTAAAAATAATAACTATAATAATAATACAAATATCACATTATTTCAAATAATTATAAAGCATCGTATTGTTTGGCAAAAAAAAAAATGGTAAAACTCACGAAATACAAATATATTATGTATAATATACTATTTCAATAGTTAAAATACTGTGCACCAAAGATTAATACTATAACTTTAAGCTTCTTCTACCACAGATTTTTCTGATTTTTTTTCACCACCGTCCCATTTTAATTCCGCTTGTTTAACACCATTACTGTTGTAAGCGTCGTCCTACAAAAGAAAATGAATTCTATTATAACTATATTTAAAATTATTTTTTAATATAAAATATATATTAAACAAATACATAACAAATTAAAATAATTATTTATAATTTACTTGTTGAGCAGTAAACCCTGTAGAAGTGGTACTTGACCAGATACCTTCACCCCAAGTGGTTATTGTGGCTGTCTCAGAATGCCATTGTGTCTTAAAATAAATACAAATCAATTATACTATTTTTAATTAACTAACTAATTAGTTTAAATGTTTAGTTGATAGGTTCAACACACAAAACAAAAAATTTTTTCAATAGGGGTACAGTTAAAAGTAAAAGGAAATCTAAATAATCCTAATTATTAGTGATAATGTTCTGTATAAAGTTAAGACAGTTAAGTTCAAAAATGATTAATGTATCTTGGAATACTTTTAATATAATATTAAGTAAGAACTTCAACTCACTACCAAATATAATACTCACCAAAAATTGTTGTTCTTTTGTTTGAATGTCTCTTTCGATTTGTGCCAGTTCTTCAGACAATTTATCAGTTTCTTTAACAGCCACATTATGAGTGGCAAGCTATAAAAAGAGTTAATTTGTATTAAATTACTAAAATTTTTAGTATGAATGTAAAAAATATTATGAATAGGACATTACTTTAAGATCATTGATTTTTTTTTCTAAATTTTTCAATTGGTTTTTCATTTTATGCGATTCTGCCATTAAGCTGTAATGATAAAATATGTGGTCATACTCTGTCACAACAATGCCAACAACTATAAATATCATTAATATTATTAACTACTGACCTTTTGGGAGCCTTGTGACTACCAAAAAAGTTAGGTGGTTCCATTATACCAGCTGGACTATGTATAGTTATATAACTTTGTCCGATTGCACCAACAGGTGAAGCGACAATATGTGCAGCGGCTGGGTAACCTTGAGGTGAATTAAAGTACCAAGATGCGGCTACTGGACTGTTACGCGCCCCACGAAGTGTGCCTAATGGTGTTGTTATGGTTGTAGTTGTTGTAGAGCTGAAAAATTGGGCCTGTGCAGCAGCAGCAGCAGCTGGTGTGGGTATTGATAATGTACACGGTCGCCGTAACGACTTGCCATTTTTTGCTCCAATCGCCTGGTTGTTGTTGACTACTGTTGATGATTGTGGAGGCGGAGGTGCTCCAGGGTTACTACCGTTACCCCCAATAGGGCCATACTTTCCATTAACGGCCAACTCAAATGGCACAAATTCATCTGGATCTGCCAAAATCGAATCAGACCTGTCAAAACCAATTGGGAATTTTAGTATTTATTGTAAACTATGGGGTACATCAAAATTAACTATTTAATTTCATTCAGTCGGTAGCATAGTAGTACAACATTAGTAATATTATACTGTGTTCCACAAGAGAATATGGACATTCTGAGCTTACTGCACATCACCCCACTATCGAAACAAAGGTGCCCATATAGCTCAATTTTGATTTCTTTAGTACAGCCCCCCCCCCCCCCCCAACACAATCATTACTATGCCATTATTTAACGTAATAAACATTGTTAACAATTAATTAATTGTGTAATTTTATTGAAGTAAAATAATAACAAAGAACATGGGATCTCACTTAACTACATTTTAAATGAACTATTCATATATGCCAATAATTTTTTAAGATATTCTATATATTCTATATATAATATAAATATAAGTATGTAATTTCCATTTACTGTAAATAAATACAAAATATAATATACTGGCTGTTATTAATAGACAGTAGTAATATACATTTATCTTTTTGGTTATTCACAAATCGAATAAACAAGTATAAAATTCTACCATTTCTTTATTTGAAAAGAAAAGATGAGCAATCCATGTGCAAGTAAACCATTAACTTCTACAAAAACTCGTCTGAATGAGCTAATTTCTTGGAGGTTAATCAAGAAAAACCCATCAGGTGGATTGATATGGGGTATTTTTGGTGCATCATTATTGGTCAATAGTTATTTTTGGGTTCATTTTTTGAGGCGTAAAGAATATCAAGTAACTATATCAAACATGGAGTTTGTTCATTGTTGTCATACATTAATTAACTTTGACAAAATAGGTTGACCACAAAAAACGCATGTGGAATGAACGTTTTGAAATGCTTGAAAATCCCGCTAAGATGAAATTATATTATTCATCAGATGAAACAGTGCCAAAACCATGTCAACCACTGATTGATGTTTACAAAAAAATGCAAGAAGCAGAATCCAGCAAATGTAAAATAGTTAAAGAATGTAAATGCGAAATTGATGCTGAAAATGAATAAATATATCTTTTTCTTACCTAATTAACATGGGTCGTCCAGTTTGTATATTGACTGGGGAAGGTAGTCCAGTTTTTGTGTGAAATAACCCATTATCCCACATTGAATAACGATCAAAATCCTTTAATATAAAATAAGTATTAAATAATTAAATAGTAACTATTTGCTTCTCCATTGCTTCTATGTGATTAAAAAAAAAAACATACCACTTGATCAGGTGTAATAGAACACGCAGTCATTACCCTGTCTATTTGCCCCATAAGTTCTTGTTTGCGATTCTGAAGGGACATTAAACTAGATGATAAATTTTTCTAAAACAAAATGATTGTAAACATTTTTAAACTTGAAGCATGACCATGTACTATAATATAGTTCATACCATTTTATTAGAATGGCCAGGAATGTTTTGATCCATATACATTTTATTGTTTGGATTTATCAGCATACCATGTGGATGTGGTCCAGGACTAGAAAAAAATTTTGGACATTAGTTTTGTTTTGAAACTCAGTGGTACTAAAAGAAGCATCAATTAAATATTAATAACACTTACCCATACATTTCATGACCATATTGTCCTACAGGATACATTTGTTGTTGACTATTCTGATAATAATTCTGACCAGTTGGTACAATATATGAATGTTCTACAGGGATAGGAGTCAATTCTTGAGTATCTGAAAAGTTTTTAGGCACTTAGAGAAAAAATATCAACATATAAAATTTCAATATTTAAGATTTTACTTTCAGGCAACATCATGGGTTTTTTATTATGGATAAAATCAAATTGTTCTTTTGGCATAAAATTAGGTTTATTTGTCAAATAATCATGATCAACAATCATTGGTGCCAATCTATTGTTCTTTCGATTTTTATTCCTGTACCTAAGAGTAAAATAATGATTATACACACGGAGACTTAAGTATATAGAATAATATTTACTTTTCTAATTCTTCTTCTGAATGAGCAAATGTACAACCACCACCTCTTGGACATGTACCTCGCATCATTAAGTCTCGGCATAAACTGACTTTATACCGAGGTACATTTGTTTGGCTTTGTGTAGATTCATTCTTTAATCCTTTATTAGAATTGCCATGGGACTTGACAAAATCAGTCAAACCTGCTACTACTATTTTAGCACTTTCAAGAACAGAATTCAATTTTTCCCAAGTACACCATTCCAGACCTATGTTGAATAAAAATTATAATCTACTGAATTCAAATACTCAAAATAAAAATAAAACTCACTAGGATTAGGGTCAACTGCAGCCAAAAGCTCAAAATTTGACCTTAATGATGATAATTTAGCTGGATCACCAGTCCGCTGTAAGGCTATAATAAGTTCCTGGACCGATTGTGAAAACGACTGTGGGCTTTGTAACTTATCCATAATACTTTGCATGTGTGATTTGTGTGCTGAATCACCATAAAGAAGTGCTGACCATTGATCAGGAGCTATGCGAAGTCCAGCTTCAGTAGCAATTTCTACAATTTGGGCATCATGTTCACGTCTTAAACTCTCATAAGTACGAAACTCTTCTTTCAACTGCATTAATGAAGAGTCACCGTCACGCTTAGAAACCTATAAAAATTATTTGTTCAATAAAAAAGCAAACTAATAATACCATAAACATACACAAATAACTTGAGACTTGAATTAAATAACACAAATAGACTAAACAACATATGAAATACATAGTTTAAATTAAGTATATGTTTCAATTTATGAACTACAAAAATACTTAGTATCCAAAACCAATAAGACTAACAATGAGGTTATTTTACTTCAAAAATTAAAAGTTTATGTATGAAAAACCTAAATATCAATTCAATATGAAGAAACAGCGTCTTTCTATAAAATGTATTTTCATTTTTCAAATATAACACAAAATTATGGAATATATTATTATAAAATTAAAAATATTATTTAATGATTTTAAGTTATAGGGGATACTAATATATATCAAACAAAAATATGTTCTGGTATTCAAAACGTGGTATCTAATATTTAATACTAGGTATATTCTAACATGTTTTATATGTGTATTAACTCTTACTCAAATAATAAACAATTGACATACCTTAAAACATGAAGCTCTGTAAAGTAGTTGAACTACATGGCCAATACTAGTTTTAGATGCTTGAGGAAAATGTGGTTCTAATCGTTGAACAACAAACATTACTAAGACTTTTCTTGATAACGCAGAGCCATCCTCCAAAGCTAGTAGGACCAGTTTTAATACTTCTTCTTGCATTGCTGGTCCCAAAAACTGACAACCGCGAGCTCGGACAGCAGCCCATAAATTTGTAGATAATTGTTGAGCACTTTGATGATGGAGTATAAGTTCTGTCATACTACGCTCACCTAGAGATCTGGCTGCTCTGATGGCTCTCATGCGGCCTTCATTTTCTAAAAGTTGACAGTTAACTAGAGTCACCAGTTTACGCTGCATAGGCCGTGACAGTCCAGCACTTGTTGATTGACCACCACCTAATAAGTAAATAAAAATAATTATGTGTGCTTAACATTGTAGTGAATCGAAATAAAAATAAATACCAGTTGCAAATGATTTAAGGTATAATGCAAGATGTTCCACACAATTTTTTGATTTATTATATAGTAGCCGTTCATCAGATGACATATTCTTTAACATGGATTTTGGAATGTTTTCAATGTTTGGTATTGATGCTCCCACCAATTGAAGTAGAGCATAATTTATTGGAAGTTGATCAATTTCTATGTTAATTAAATTCTGTAAAAAGATAGTCATAAATAATAATGTATTTATTATTTAAAGAAATAAATTGTGCCCAAACAATGTATGACAATTTGTATCAAATACAAAAACATATATTCTAAAGACTTAAAATACCATTTTTGCTTATAATACAAATAAATTAAATTGTACAACAATAATTCATTACTTTTTCAAATGTTCAATAAAATAAAATATCAGAATGTGAAATATATGTACACTAGATTCTGGGTAACTCGGACATTGATGCATAATATAAAAATGTTTCCTTCAAACACCATAACACTAAGTTAGCTTTTAATATCTCTAAGTCACATAACATACTGTTTTTTCTCTTGAACTTAAAGTTGCCAATACCATGTCATCAGTTCATTAAAAATAAATAAATAGTTATATACATGGTAAACATAAATATTTTACAAAATAATGACAGGTATAATTGGTACTATTACTAATTTATGACCTACTTATTTTATACACATAAAAAAAAAAAACAAAAGAATCATTTAATAACAAAAGAGAAGACATGTAGAGCATCAATATTTTTACAATTATCTTCCTGGATTATAGGAAATATAAATAATAGAGAACACACCTCAATATTCATAATCAACATTCAATAGTTTCAATGCTTTCAAATACAAAAATAATTACTTGAAGAAGAGGTTTTTCAAATCATAGAAAGAATAATTTTTGAAAATAAAAATATACCTATATTAACATATAATAGATAAGTAGGTTATATAATTATAGGTAGGTGTCTAACAAATATAAAGAATTTTGAATAAGAGTAATAACCAACTATTAGTACAAAGAAATAAAAATTTTAAGACTATTGGTAAAAAAAATTGTATTTAAGCTTTAAAGTATAAACATTAGTTTTAATTAGGTATGTAGGTTAGGATTGTTATATTTATAAACTTCAATAAATAAATAATTTAAATTTATATAATAAATCCCGGAAAAAACAAAATATATTTATTAATACTTACTTATTTTCAATATTTATTATTATTATTATTATACTCAATATGAGTTGGTGAAATATTATTTAAACCATAACTCAATATTTGGTCAATATTTTAATAGCAAGGAAAATTTCCAGTTCTATCTAATGTATTAAGTACTTAGGTACTTTATCTGGTGGAACAATTTATAATAATACTATGTAGTCAAAAATATTTGGCTACATAATTAACAGTTTAATTTCGCTTAACAAATTTAGTGTATCTACCATCTTAAGACAGTGTGTCTGACATTTTATTAAACGTGTTTCAAAATAACAGCTCATTGCTGGAAGTTTGATAGAAATATACACAATTTGAGATAAAAAAAAAAGGCGGCTGATATCCACAATCTACCTCACAGTATAAAACAGAGTATCATTTATCATTCCTACATTTTTGCAACAAATGTGTTAAACAAAAACTGATATAATCAAGTGCAATTTATTTTAAACTAATGTAAAGGACCAAGGTAGTGCTACTATTATTTTAAACTACAAATTTACTCAACATCAATACCTAATATATGTTTTTATCATTACCTAACCCGATTCATTTGAATCAAATACTGTTGTTGAAGCACTAAACAGTAAAAAGCTTAACAGGGAAATAAAAGAAATGTTTTTGATTAATTAATTAAATGAATCACAAAACAATATTTGTTAGCCAAAAACTATGTTGACAATAAACAAACAAATTGCTAACTCACTTGATCAAACGGGCATTGTTTTTTAGGTAGATTAGACAGGCATGACTTGCACACCGTGTGAGCACATCCCAAACTGATGGGGTGTCGGGACTTGATGTCAAAGCCATTACAGCACACTGGACAAGCCAGGAAATCGGTCCACTGCGGAGCTTGGATCGGCATAACTGAGAAAAAAAAAGATTTATTTAAATGAGAGCAAACACAATGGTTGGGAACCACTTTCCCAGATTTTCACAAAATCTCCTACCTGTTGTTCACTTATAGTCGTTTCGTTTTGGATTTTATGCTGTGGCCGGAATTGCGACACTCGACCATTAAGGTCGCGAAAAACAGAGCGAAACTGCTTTAAACGCGACGGTCGACTGTCAGTGATGGTGTCGACATCACCAACGACGAAGATTGTTTTAAAAGAGGAACCTTGGGCAGTGTTTCCAACACAGATAGCAGAAAGGTTTCTTCTCCTTTGTCGACGACGACGCGTTTATTTTTACACGGGAAATACGCAATTAATACAGATGAACGTCCGTCCGAAGGTAAGCGCGATGAAAGGTGCAAAGGTTTTTTTTATTTATTTTATTTCTTGTCTTCTTTTATCTCGTTGCCACTCACCGTTACAGGCACTATGCCACTTTGACTTATGAGTTATTACTCTATAAGTAATGAGTAATGACAACAATAATAATTGAACAATATAATCGCTATCACATATTCACGTCGTCGAGTTCTATTTACACACCGTTTTCGAAGTTTCGTACGTATTTTCACATCATGTCGTCATCTACAATGATCTCACGACGTCGTCGTCGTCGTCTTGGCGGACGTCGTTATCACGACCACACACACATGCACACACAGGCATTAGCTCGAACATCAGGTGGTGGGTGTCGTGCAGCTGGTTGGGTGGCGATTGTGTACGCGGGTAACGGTGATGTCGGCGTGTAAAACTGCATAGCACATTATCAATGATTAGATTAGTCTCAAACTCTCCACAGACCGCAGTTCGGTGTCGAGAATATATTTTAGTATTTACCACAATAATATTATGATACTTTCATGACGAATTTGAAATGTTGGCATGTAATATTATGGTTTCACGTCGGACGTTTAATGTGTAAATAGCCATTGCTTTTGCCATTCCAATGGCTGCCAATTGTGAGAAACGGTTGTTGAAACAATTTCTTGACGGGATCGAAACAAATGTATTATGCAAAATCGTCCGATCTATCTACCACGGTGGTGGAATCTCTGTGAATACCAGAGAAGGTAAAACAATATCTTTTATAATTATATGTTATGTATGTAATGTTATAACTGTAACACAGACCTTAAAAAAAATACTAAGTACCTATGATTCGAAGATTAATTCAACTAAAATTAATGTATTGTGCCCTCTAAAATACAGTGTTATACTGCTGAAATCTATGACTAACAGACTAATACTAATCATGAATAGGGTTGCCACCTTTGAAAGAAAGCAGCCCCGGAGATAGGCCGATAAGCAAAAAAAAAAAAAAAGGTCATCAGCTAGACGCTAGTATACACACCAGTACGTGGTAGTATAATCTAAAATCTATAGCTTAGTTGAAGTGAAATGATAAGTAATGAAATGCAAACAAAAAAATATTTATATAATCAGTAATCACATATTTTATCATTCAAAATTACAAATTATACTATAAAAATATAATTAAAAATCCCAAACAAGAAAAATTATTTAAATTTAAAATCATACTTAACATTATTTGTTGCACATTTTAATAATTGTTACCGGAAACTAATAAAAAAAAAGGCATAATAATAAAAACAAGTCTATTTAAGACTATAAATCGTAGGTTATCTTATCTTTATCTCCGACCCGGAGAAAAATTCTCTGAACCCGGAGCCCGTAGATTTATACGTAAACCCGGATTCTCCGGGTGAAACCCGGAGAGGTGGCAACCCTAATCATGAACAGTATTGGTGTTAATAGGTACTATGGTTGTGGATATCTAGTTTTATGTTATACCTATTTATATTCTATATATTTTAAAGTTTGTCTTTAAAACTTGCAATATGTTTTAGATGCTGAATTGTTACTATTGTCTCAACCTACTGTGCGGGTATTGTCCAATAAAAAGGTACAAATAACTGCGTTGTTGAAATTTTTAATTTCAAAAGGCTTAATACCTACTACTGATATGACAAAAGAAGATTTGTGTTTGGCTTTTAAGTCATTAATCGAAAGTCAACCAGACTATATAAGACCGCCAGTACAACCAATTCAAATGTCTGTCCCTAATAATATGCTTGCAGTTTCTCAGAATAATAATATGATGCATACTCAACCATATCAAACAGCCATCCAACAGGTACCTATGTGTTGTCATTAAAAATTTAAAAAAAAAATCAAGTTACTTTTTTTGGTAACCATTAATCTATTCTAATGACCACTATGTAAAAGTGTAAAACAGATATTTTTTTAATGCTAACCTTATTGCTTTTCATACATAATATTTATTATGATATGTACACCAATTTATTATAAAGAGTTAGTACATTTCATTCAATGTTTATATTTTTAATTGTTACTACAATTACTTGGTAAAATAATAAATAGTAATGTACAATCTAATAACACTGTAATATTGTAGATACTATTATTATATCTGTAGATCATTGAATCTCAAGTGGGCTTAAAATAATATCACATAATTAAAACTAATAACTATTGGCTATTATATTGTTATTGTTCTGATAAAGTAAATTATATATATATTATATAAAAGCAATATTTTACGCATTTAAGAGATTCAAGACTTTGATTATAATATGGACTGTGAGAATGAACTGTTATTTTTGTAAAAATGTATATGTCCTACTCCTACAATAGAATAAAACACTACAACTTAACTTATTATAATATTAATTTATGTATTTTTTTAGATGCCTATGCCAACACCAATTACTAGTGCCCTAGAACCCAATACAAAATCTCGAAAAGATCATGATAATGAATTACTAGAAGAATTTATTGAAATGTTTGCTAAACATTTTTATGATTTATTAAATGATCTTGGCATCCCAGGAAAAAATCAACTGGACTGTCGTCATTTTTATGAAAATTGTACAATGTCGTTGAAAATTCTTGGTGGCAGCAATGAAATCCATGAAACTTGTGAAGATTCCACATCTGTATTGCAGTGCTTGTTAAGTATCAAGAAAGAACACATACTTTTTTTTTCACCACATTTAGGCGATGTTAAATGGAAAAAAGAGTCACACGGTTTAGTAAAAGTGCATATTGGTGGTACACTCCATCAAGGTGTCGGAAGAATGGTTGGAATGTTTGAACAGCAATTCATACTTAGAGAAGATCCTCAAGCAGAAAACACATGGAAAATTCTTAACACCAATTTTATGATGAAAAGTATGGACTTAATAACAGCTGGACCTAATTTAAGCATTCAAGGACCTCATCAAGCTAACCATTTACAAATTGATAATGTGTAATTGTGCTGTCAGTAAATTAGGTAAATGACTTGCAAAAGTTAATATTTTCTTGTATTCTTTTCTCAAATTTGAATAATCAAATTATATGAAAATATTTAACATTGTTATCATTTAAATAATCGTATACAGTGATGCTTATGTGAAAATTACATTAATTCTTTAAGAGGATATCAGCACACTTAATTTTCTCTGTCTGACCAATGTGTAATATAGCAAGTTCTGAGCATTTTGAAATTGTAATATTTTACATAGGTATAATCAAATACTCTATATGACAATATGGGGCAGTCTATGGTGAGAAAAACAACCTAAAGATGATTAAATACTTAGGGTTCAGACTCAGACGCATACTCACTCGGTGCATGTCGCAGCTACACTACTCATCACTCCCTCAGTGCTGTGCCTGAACTTAACTCTNCCCCATAATCGTAGTGGTTCTCTATACATATTCTGCCAGGCACTGACCACTTATAAATAAGTACAACTAACTGTTGTTATACTATAGGTACTAGGCAGTAGTAGTACTAGGCAGTAGGCATGACAAAATATGTACTTATTATTTATGTTATGGGTAATAGGTAGGTATTATTGTTAATATTGTTATTTTCTAATTTATTGAGGCTTCACTAACAAAGGTTTTTAGTCTATAGATATTATTATTCATGTAAGGTTATCTTTATATACAAAAATGTATAAAAATTCATCAATTGAGAACGGCTTGGCCGATTTGAATTAAATTTTTTTTGTAATTGCCAGGTTTTTATGGAAAAAAATTTGGAAAAACCCTTTTTTTAAATGTTTTTGATGATTTATGTTTTGAGTTCCGGAATGTTTTTTCGAATTGAAAAAGCTACAGCAAGCTTTAGCTTATACAATTGTTCATATGACATAATTAATCGTTAAAATAGGGTCCCCGGCCAACACCAAAATAATGGATCAACTTGGAGAAATATGTCGTGTATTGAATATTAGGTATTAATATTATGTTTCACTATATAAAATAAAATTTAAATTTTGTAAAGTGATAATTTTCGTATCGTTTTTATTTATAGCCTTAATATAATAATATTTTCTTTACATAGAACGCAATAGTCGATAGTAGAGATAAAATTTAGGTTTTATCTGTATGAAATATGATTATTCGATTATTACGGCTTCATTTTCCATTTTCCGTTGTTGGCGTTACCAGAAAAACTGCCCTAGTACAATTTTAGTTTATTTTGTTTTATTTTACTGATCTAACAAGACATAGTCCTGAATGGTTTGGACTCACAATTGGACCCGATAACAAACAGAGATTTTAAGATTTACGAAGACAATATTTGATTTTATACGGTTGCTATTGGTTATAGGAGAAATATAAATATTAAATATTATATTTGTTATATATATAACTATTTACTAGAAATTATTTTTTTTTTTTGTTTATTGGTTGCCTGCAGTGGTTCATCGTACACATCAGGACAGGTATAAGCATGTGTAGTGGTCCAGCCTACATATTGTGGAGTACAATGGTGATAGACGACAAGGACACAAGGTGTAATAATTTCTAAGTCAATTTTGATTATTTTGAACATAGACTTTATTTGGCATGTAAAACTGATAGAATAATTTATAACACTGAAATTTCTTCAGAGAGTCGACTGGCGTGAAGGTGCTTGTACTGGCTCTGGTAAATCACGTCTGAATAGCGGTTGGCTGGGTCCCTGTTTTATAAGAGCCTAAACTCCACTCCTCTCCTATCGATAAGATAGCGCTGACCCCGTTTACTATTGCACGTGTGCGTACGAGTTCCAAGAAATGGTCTCTTCCTATGCGGCTGTTGATATCGATATTTGGCATTGTATTATTCAATGGATATGTATTATAATATTACAATATTATATTGTTAAAAAACACTAAATTATCTCAATAAAGTTGAACAACAAGTTTTAGCTAAAGAAAACAATATTATTTATTATAACTATCATTTACAATACTTAGGGTTCAGACTCAGACGCATACTCACTCGGTGCATGTCGCAGCTACACTACTCATCACTCCCTCAGTGCTGTGCCTGAACTTAACTCTNATACTCACTCGGTGCATGTCGCAGCTACACTACTCATCACTCCCTCAGTGCTGTGCCTGAACTTAACCCTCAGAACACACACAGTGTTGCCAACAATATTATATTAATTATAGTCAATTCGTGTCAACGTTTCTAATTATTTTTATCTCCATATCTCTTTCGCAACGCAATTTCATTTGTCGAGTTGTCAGAACTACGCACACAATGACTGTAAATATTATCCTAGTTATTTCAAGGCGCTTTCCCGAGTTTGATCACATCCTAGCCCGTCGAATGTGAACAATCGCATGTGTGCCCTTACCTACCTTAAGTATATATGTATAATGTATATGGTGGGACGTCAGTACATAGCACCTCACTCCTAAAAATAAAGGTTTGTGTCTTTTAAGACAGAAATCTTTAAAACATCAATACAATTAAAAAAATTTTACAATTTCAATGTACAAGTTGACTAACTTGTTTACAATACAGTTATTATAATATGTTTACATTTTACAGTTATACAGATTACAGTTTTACATTTTACATAATTAATAATATTGATTACAACGTCTTATAAAATATGTTATATTATGCGTATCACATTTACAAAATGTATTATATGGTTTACATTGTTGGTTATAATATGTTTGTTAGTAATTTACAATAGGTGTTTCTTTATTAAATAATAAAAATAATTTGTTAGTAATATAATTTTTCCATTATGTTATTCTTACAATAAAAATAAATTTCTCCCCCGGTTTTTATATAATATTAATATGTTTTCTTTAATAGATATATATTTATATTGAACAATTCCTTTTCTTAATATTAATAAGAATAACCTTTTTTTAATTTGCTAGTGTATATATATATATTTAGTTATTATTTCCGTTTATTTTATATAATTATTCATATTAATTGTTATTTACTTATTGGTAATTATATTTATTCAACTAGTGTTGGCTGTGTGGACATCTATTCATAATCTCAAAAGTTATCGACAGAAGGTAGACAGAAGGTTACCGTGCACAAAAACGACGCTAAGAAATACCACAAGAATAGAACATTAAATATATAAAAAGAAAATTAAAAATGTAACAATAAGAATTAAATGTGATAAAATAAATAAATAAGATAATAATAGTTTAAGAATATAAGTGTAAAATATAAGTATAAAAAAAAAACGAAAATTATATTTCTAGAGAAAGAGAAAGAGAATTCATCCTGGAATTAGAAATGATATTAAAACGGAACAATCACGATCATAAAACTAAAGTAGAAAAGGATGAGTTATCTAAATGTCTATTAAAACACATAAGTGAAGCAAACCACAAAATTGACAAGCCATTTAGATTTAGTAGGAGCGAATTGAAGGGAATAACCAAAACAATAGCTCATAAATTATGGGATAGTACAGAAGGCGAAATAGGAGTTTACGAATCGCGTTGCGAACTAATATACGTATACATCATGAATTGGGTCGCAGATCCAAGGATATTGTTAAACTATAACCGTCGAGACGAAGTTAGACGAAGCTCTAGAATACGTAGAAACAGGAATAAAGAAATCAAGAACAAAATAATAAATAAAATATATAATGTATGAAATTTATGTTACTTTCAGGATAAGGGACAGAGAATTCGTACCCGGACTAGAACTAAAGCAATTTTATATAGGGAGCATGACACAAGTACTGTAGGAAAAAGAGATATACCTAAATGTTTAAAAGAGCACATAGCGATAGCGAACAGTGTTCTACATGACGTTTTTACAAAGGAGGAAATTAAAAGGATAACAAAAAACATAACCGTATTCTTATGTGCCAAAACAGATCGACAAGGGAGGTTAAGTAGAACGACTTGTAAGGACTTAATCAAATTGCTGGACTATGTGCCCGAAGTTGGAATGTTATTAAATTTTACGGATGAAGAATAAATTTTAAAAATAATAATAATAATAGTATAAAATAGAAATAAAAAAATGTGATATATATATATAATTAAATAAGCTAAATGCATAAATCATTTAAACAAGTAGAAAATAAGTAATAACTAAGAAATGTAAATATTATAGATTACTGATGATACAGACCGTCAAAGCGCAAAGAGTAACGAACGACAGAATGTTGGGAACCACAATCTTTTATAAATATGATGAAATAAATTCACGATTATAAACGTATCGGGCGAAATCGATGATGAGTATAGTTTTACGGACGACTGACGAGACAGATAGCAAAATAGAATCACTACGAATAAGATGTAATTTAGGAAGGGACCCACCATTATTCGAAGCAAATTTATCGGAAAAACCACTTACCTATTATTTACAAAAATCGTGCGTACTGTATGTAAGAAATTTCGATGGTACCAAGCACAGGTTAAAACAAATTCCGGTAACATACAATTATCTAAAATTTAAGCCAGAAAATGAGTCAGCACAAGTGATAGTCGAGTCTAAAATTGAACCAAATAACGAAACCATTAGTATTGAGAACCAGGTTTTAGAACAAAATAAATATTGAGAACCAGGTTTTAGAACAAAATAAAACTACTAAAATAAATAGGGAAAAGCTAAGATCCGAGAAAATATCACAACCGAAAGGGTAGTAACGATATCCGAAAAAGTAGGAACAATATCAGAAAAGGGGGAAACGATTTACCCAGCGAGTTACATTATAAAAATTCCAATGAGAACAACTGAATCACCAGTGTCTAATGACAGCGATAGGGGTCGCGAGGGAACCGAAAAGATAAATTTAAATAGTACAGAGAAACCAGTAAGCATATTCGACAACAAACAGAAAATAAAGGATAAAAAGGGAAATGGACAGCAGGTTAACGAAAAAAGTGATAAAATTGGCTATTTAATGTTTGTAATTATGGGATTAATAATAATGACGTCTATAATAATAATAATTAATCTAAATCGTAATTATAAGTTTGTGCATAGAAGCAGGTATAGGTACATGATATACGCATTAAACGAACATCACCAAATGATGGAAACGGAATGCTAAAAGAAAATATATAATATAATAATATAATAATACATATACAATTTAATTAAAAATAAGTAGATACTTAAAACGTAGAATAAATATAGGATTAATCATTATAAAAGAAAAGGGTATAATCTAGTTCCAAAGACAAAATGCTTTACATCGAATATAAACGAATAAATACATAGGTCAAGTAAATTAAGTTAGATTTAGAACAAATTAGAATATAAGTGGGAGACAGAGAAAGCGTATTAAGAGTATATGATTAATGGCAATCATTCCGTTATAGGGTGAACATAAGGACCATTACGGTGAATACAGCGTACCTGACAAAAATAGTGCAGTTGGAAGAGGGGGAGACTAGCGAGCCAACACATGAACTGTCAATAGTAAAGAAGTCAGGGGGGCGTTTAGTAACAATGATACTGTCAAAAGCGGGAGTATTTTTGAGAGAAATGGAAATATATAGAAGTAGGGAACCCGGCGCGTTTACACAAACAGGTAGGCACATTACATTGGATGAAGCGCACGGAGTAATATGTTGGTGTAGTCATGACCGCATAGCTGGTTTGTCCAGTATAGCGCTATTGTGTAGGTGTATAGTAGGTTTAATGACGAGGGAGGACGCATGGAAAACCTCAACCAAACCACTAGTATTGCAAATGCATGGATTTATACAACAAACGGTTTAACATTAACAATAACATGTCAAGGAAGTAAGGAACCTTATATAGTAAACATTAAAAACCAAGGTATAATAAAATTAAATCAAGAATGCCGAGCCTACGCGGGAGATATTCTATTAAATCCAACGCGAGATATAAAAACAAATTATTATATTAATTTTATACCACAAATAGGGACAGGCAAACTATCGATAACTCTACCTAATAAAATTAAAGATGTAGAATTACCAAAAATAAAAAATAAATATGACTCATCAATTGGATAAAGTGCATGAAATAAAGCAATCCTTAGATGAAGTACAGGGGGGCGATTGTAAACTCCGCCAGAATATCGGTTAAGATAAAAAGGTAATAATAGGTCTATGGTAAACTCCGCCAGCTTTTTTTTCTTACCTGTAATGGGTATATGTAAACTCCGCCAGTTTTTTTTTTTACCTGGTCAGTGCGACAGTACTCACATTGCCACGTGCCTTCTCACATTAAATACGTTTACATCTATTGTGATGTATATGTCAAAATTGATAAAATATTGTCAAGGTTAGATCGATTCAAATTATTAATAATTTTATCTTCATATTATCTGAAATCAGGATTTCCAATGATGATATCGGCAGTAGATAAGGTATACGTAAAGACGTATACTTTGACGAACATAATCATTCGTAGTCTGCGTGTTTCCGTACTTCTGATATTTGTAATTTGTATATGTCCGAACGAAATATGTCGCAAGAAAATAATAGTATAAAATTAATTACTGGCGAACGAGGCAATTTGTTGGTTGTATTTAAAAATTATAAGTATAATAAAAATATAAAATACGCGTCTGGTGAAATAAAATGGAGGTGCAATAACAAAAATTGTAATGCATTTATAAAAACTGTTGGAGCTGAGCAGCATAATATTGCTTTAACACATTTTGCAAATGATACTCACATTACTTCATGCCTTCCAATTTCCATCCAAACACTAGAAAGACAAGAAATAAGTAGTTGTGTAAAGAGGAAAGCGGTAGAAGATATTCGTGATAAACCGGGTTAGGTTATTTTTTTATTTTTTTATTTACTTTACATGGATATTTTAATGGACATTATATACCACTTGTCTTCTGTCTTTTAAAAGATAAAAAACAAGAGACTTACATTAATTGTTTCAAATCAATCTGTGAAAAATGTTTAGAGTTAAATTTAGTTTTTAGTCCAACAGAAATAGTTGTCGATTTTGAATTAGCAATTCATAATGCATGCGAAAAAATATGGCCTGATGTTAATCTAGTAGGATGTAGATTTCATCTCAGCCAATCATGGTGGAGGGCAATTCAAAACTTTGGACTGAGTGTTGAATATAAAAGTGAATCAGAAATAAGTAAGTAACTTCATTTATGTTTCGGATTATTATTTTTATCTCCGGAAAAAGTTCCCGATGTATTTGCATTTACTTTAGAAGCAATCATGCCATCCGACTCTAGAGTAACTAAGTTCTCAGATTACCTTGTTGACAATTATATAAGTAATGAAGCAGCATTTCCTCCTCATTTGTGGGCTGATCAAAATGCAAATTTAAATCGAACAACAAATGCCTGTGAATCCTTTCATAGTCATCTGAGAAATTCATTTTATAAAAGTCATCCGAATGTTCACATTTTTAGTAAAGTTCTTATCGAATTTCAAACCCAAACTTATATTAAACTAAATGGCATATCTCAAGTAAATCAGCTAAAAAATTCGAAATCAAAAAAAAAAAAGACAGTATTACAGGATGCTATGAATAGGTATACTAATAAAGAAATACAAGACTTAGAATATTTGCAAATTGTATCACATCATTATAGTTTTACATAATAGTTTTTCATACAACACAATATTTATAACGATTATTTATTATTTTTTATTATATTTTATTATTATGTGGACAATTATTAATTATTATTATGAAAAATATGATTTTGGATTATTTATTATGATTTTTTATATTGTGATTTAAATATTGATATGATATGATATGATATTATATTATAATTTTATTCTACTATTTGATTTTCTTCACTGGCGGAGATTACATAAACTCAATTTTACCTGATGTTTTTCAGTGGCGGAGTTTACATGAACCCAATTTTACCTGTTTTTTTTTTCTGGCGGAGTTTACAGTAAAAAAAGGTACTTGTGGCGGAGTTTACGTGCGCCCGTACAGGGTATGATTAATGAAGAAATACTTAGGCAGTCGGGGTACGGGATAACTAACGACAGCAATAGTTATTTAATTTATGCAATAATCGGGTTAATGACATTTTGCTACGATATTATTATTATTTATATATATAACATACGAGTGTCGACTATAAGCACTTGGGAAGCCGTTAGACCGCGATACGAACCGAACCCTTTAAGTAGAAGTAAATTTTACGTGAACACACCAATAATAGTCGAAGAAATGGCTAAAAGTCCACTATTGGGGGATACACCCGATAGAGCGGCAATACCAAATCCTCCACCAAGGATAAAGGATTGAAAATAAAAAAAAAAGAAGGAAAAAAAAAATAATAATAATAATAAAAATAAGATAAGATTATAACATAAAGTAAAATAAAATAATTAATTAAACATATTATAGTTAATTAAATGTATTTAACAAATAAACTAACAATAGTCATAAGCTTAACAAGGCATGCTAATAATAAAAGAAAAAAAAAAGAAGGGAACGAAATAAAGAAAATATAACTGAAACTGATTAACAGAAAGAAATCGCACAAGTTCGTAATCATGGATTTCGAATTCTCCATGATTGACCGAACCAGCATGGTCCTGATTTCCGGGGCAATGTCAAATAGTTTGGATAGGTTTAAAATCCGAAAACTCGAAGGACAACCGCTACTTTTACCAGTCAACGAAGAAGTAAAACCTATGAAGGACCGAGAAGTTGTACTGGCAATAAAAGAAATTAAGCGAATTTTTAAATGTAAGGAAGTATTACGTGACGCATGCCTAGGCCAGATAGAGTTAAGTCTAAAATCTAAGATAAACAATTTAAATAAAGCATACATAGAAAATTACATAAGCCAGGGGGAACAGAAAAACGTGATGGTGTTATGGAATGGGGAGTTCCAATGGGTTCTAGACAAATTAGGAATTAAAGAATATCCAATTCTAAATATGAGATGTTATGATACACTGTTCAACCAACAGTTTAGTATCCAATTTGAAATTTCAGAAAATGGATACAAAGCAAATCATATTCGAAATGGATATAGGAACTCTTAACAAATCAGGAAGATTATTAAACCTAGAAGAAACCCATACCATAATTTGTCAGAAAAACAATAAAGTAACACACGCGCACGATCCAAAAACAGATGTCAGGTTTGCCCTACTTGTATGCCTCCTTCTTTCGTACTATCCTCAACTACTTCGGTTGAATTATCCCATATATTATCTGAATATTGGTTCATCAGTACATATTTTATTCATTAAAAATGTCGTAATTAAAATAAATGTATTTATTTATTCATTAATTTTATTTTCCCAATAAACACAATAATGAATTTATTTATTTATTCTTCTACTAATTATTTGCCATCTGTATTTAAATAAAAATATATTACAACTATTTATTTATATTAAGCCTCTATTATCTGTACAATTTTATCTGTATTATCTGTATTAACTGTCGAACTATTATAGTTTTTTACTAAAAAAGCTAATAAAAAAAAATATATTACTACTATTTATTAAATATCGAGGTAAATTTAATATTGTGATGCGCGTCCTATATACTGTAGTGGTCCAGCCCACAGATCGTGGTGTATAAGACAAGAGATGATGAAGTGTAAATAATTCTACGTCAATTGTAGAATATTATGAACATAGACTTTATTTTAACATGTAAAACTGATAGAATATTTTTGGTACACTGAAATTTGTCAGAGAGTCGACTGGCGTGAAGGTGCTCGTACTGGCTCTGGTAATCACGTCTGAATATCGGGTGGATGGGTCCCTGTTTTATAGGCCTACCCTCCACTCTTCTCCTAGCGATGAGATAGTGCTGACTGCTGACCCCGTTTACTATTGCACGTGTGCGTGGTCGTGGGTTTCCAGGAAACGGTCGCCCAGTCGTGTCGGTTGAGAGATTAGATATTGTTATATTTGACATTTTTATAGCTGTTTCGCGTGTGAACTCTTTTTATTTAAATTTCCGCAGCGCACTTTCGGTAGTCGGATTCTCAGAACTATGCACCCGGTTTCTTATTGCGTCGTTGTTCTTAAATCCCCGAGGTCGACAACTTCCCAATGTGAATAATTCTCATATTATGTCCCCCTCGCTATTTAAGCCTTTAAAATATATGCGTATATGGCGGGACGTCAGTACATAGCAATACAATTTTATTTCTATCTCTATATTAAATATTATACGATTTTATCTATTTATTATTTGTTAGTTTTATTAAAATAATTATTACAAAATAATTGTTAATATTTATCTATTACTATTTCTTATTCTAGGCTAGCCTTAAAATTACTTGTATACTTTTTCCACTTTATTATTATCTTAATATTTCATCATATATAAATATTTTTGTGTGCACACTTCTAATGATTCAATTTATTTACTTCAATATTCCCAAAAACTCACATAAAACACGGTTTAATCACCTGTATATAATATTTAATTATTTATTTCAATATTCCAAATAGCGCTGACCCCTTTTACTATTGCACGTGTGCGTACGAGTTCCAGGAAACGGTCTCCTCCTATGCGGTTGTGGCGGTCGAGAGATTAGATATATTATCTCACAGGTATTTAATATAATAAAGTAATATTATATTCAATATTTATGCCCATAGATATTTTATGTTTTAACTATTTTCATTTATATATCTCGCAACGCAATTTCGGTTGTCGAATTCTCAGAACTACGCACCCGATTTTTTATTGCGTCGTTATTCCGAGGTCGACAACATCTTAGTGTGAACAATCTCATATGTCCCCCTCGCAATTTTAAGTATATACGTATATGGCGGGACGTCAGTACAAAGCAATATGTATTATAATATTACAATATTATAGTATATTAACTATAGTCAATTCGTGTCAACGTTTTTAATTCTTTTTATCTCCATATTTCTTTCGCAACGCAATTTCATTTGTCGAGTTCTCAGAACTACGCACACAATGACTGTAGTTATTATCCTAGTTATCCCAAGGCGCTTTCCTGAGTTTAATCACATCCTAGCCCAAAAATCGCATGTGTGCTCTTGCCTCCCTTAAGTATATATGTATATGGCGGGACGTCAGTACATAGCACATGCATACAATTGAATTTTCGCACATTGTCTACCAAGGTGGCTGAGTTGCGCTTATAGCCACTCATCGGCAAGTCTGCAATCAAAATAAATATAAAACATATTATTTCAATAATACACAGCAGGTAGGTATAATATACTGCTCGTATTATCACCATCGAGTCTCATATAGGGTTGGCTTTTTTAACGGGCAGCAAAGTGCACGGGATTAGCTAGTTATATTATATTATTGTAAAACATTTTATTTTTTGAAGGCAATAATTAAGGTATCCGGACAATTTCCCCCCGGACATTTTCCCCCCGACTGTTTTTGGCGCAGTAGGACATTTTCCCCCCGAAAAATGTTCCGATGCGGACATTTTCCCCCCATTTTTTCATAAATATAATAAGACATAAAAAAATTGTATATAAGTAAAATAGGTTAAAAATTTCATTTTTTTTTTCATAAATATAATAAGAAATAATCTTTAAACCTCCCCTGTCTGTTTTAATAATTTCTATTTTATCCATATTTTTCACTTTACGAATTACGAGTTACAATCACTAAACCACTACTAAATGACTACAACTGCTTTGAACAATTTTTATACAAAAGTCATAGGCGCACATAGGGTGTGAATTTAGGGGGTGCTGGAATAATTTATGGTACACAGCCCCGTGGGGGGCTTTGCCCCCCACACCCCCCTAATACAATAATAACAAGATTTAATTTCCTGTTTGATAACGCAAATTTTTGCAATATAATTTCCCCATCTATTTTATTGGTAAGATCTCTCTCAATGCTAAGCGTAGATAGCTTAGTAAATCTTTCTTGGCCCATACTAGTGCGTAACCAGTTTTTCAATCTACGCATAGCCGAGAAGGAGCGTTCACACGTTGAAGAAGAAATTGGAATTGTCATTTTCACTTGAACTAGTTTATAGACATTTGGAAACGAACTTTTATGACATTGATTTTTCAAGTCTTCAAATACAAAGTTGGCTGGTACACTATTCTTTAAGACCAACATTTAGGCTGATAAACTAGTTGTTGATATTTTCAAAATATCCTGATATACATAAACAGATTTATATACTAATAATATTTTGAAAGATATGACCATGTAATAAATATTTTAAATAGTTAGTTATTTTTTATCAAATATACCTTATAAGTGTTTATAAAACACACACTTTTATGTTCATCCTAGTTAAAAAAGTTATAAACAGATTCAGCCAGCTCTAAGCTTTCTTCCGAAAAACGTTTTTCTAAATTTATAATTATTGCATCGCCTGTCTAGCCAACCGTGAACAGTAGATAATAATAAGAATATAAAGTAAGATTAGATAAATGTTTATATAATTTCCTATAATATTATGATTGCTGTTAATTGTTTAATGTTTAGACGAAAAATACGGGCAATCATACAATACTGTGAATTCGTGAACTATAATAATATTGTCTATTTAAGTAGATAATAATAATTATAATGGAAAAAAAAATGTCCAACTCAATAAACCATAATAATTTACAAATTATTGGTGGATTACTGAAATCAATTTTACAGGAAACT